CTTGCACCGCGCGGCGAAGTCGGCGTCCTCGGAGGCACTGACGGCGCGCATGCAGACGCCTCCGGGCGCTCATTCTCTCGGGCCCGTCGCCGGCGCGCACGGGGTGGAATCCCCAGGGATCGCAGGTGGTGACTGGTCGTCGCCAGGACACGGGGGGCACAAGCGAGCGACGGCGAGGAAGGCGAGAGATTCTGCCCCGTTTTCCGCCGCTGGCGGCCCGTTTCGGGCCGCAGGAGCGTCGACCATCGATCTGGACCCGAAGGGCCCCAGAGCGCGAAAGTGGCGGAAACCCGCTTCTTCGTGTCGGCCCTCGGTCACAATTCGCCCCATGGGCCTTTCCGGGGGTGTGCCCTTGCTAGACTTTCGACACGGATCCAGCCGCAGCGACGGAAGCCTCACGCAGAGACAAGAACGTGGAAAACTTTCAAAACCATCGGTCCTAGATCTCCACAACAGAAACCATCTTCATGGCCCTCGCTTTCCTGCATGGCGGGCAACAGATCGTCGACTCCGCCCGGGAGCCAGAAAAAGTAGAGAAAACAACTGCATGTACCGCCGCACCTTGGTCAGAAAAACATCCCTCGAAAGCATGAGCCCCTCCGCCGGCCAGAATGACGAGCATTCGAGGGCGCCCTCTCCCAGGATGCACACGAGCACCCAACAGCACACGAAGAACAGCAGGGCACCCTCCCCGAACCGACCTCGGTCTTACAATGACCTCGGCCCGACTGCATTCTAAGCAGCGACTTCCGGGGGCTTCCGCGGATTCCTGCGGTCGGCGCCGCCCGCCCCCTCGAGGCCCCTCCCGGCGCCGCCCCCGCCGCGCTTCGCGCACCCGGGGAGGGGCGTCCAGCGCCGACCGCGGGAGATCCGCGCGGGCTCTCCTGGCCACGGCGAGCCTCGGCCACGGATCGGCTCCCAGGCCCAGATCCAAGAGAAGGCCCGAAGACCAGAACCCGTGGAACCCATACGGACTTGTCTCGCAGGAAGCCCCGACGGCAGCGTGTGTGCTTCGTGCCGCTCGCGCTGCGCTGCGGGGGAGGCTCGGAGGCGCCTCCGGACACCGAGGCATCGCCGGCCAGCAGGTGGCCCTGGATGGCGAGGACGCGGTTCGCCATGGCTGCCCCGGCGCCAGAACTGCCAACTGGCCGAGGGTCTTCGGGCTGGGAGCCACAAACTGCGGCGAGGGTGGGAGCGACAACGACGACGACGACGACGACGACGACGACGACGACGACGACAGAAGGTCGGCCGTTGCTGGCGGGTGAGGACGGCGAGAGATTTCCATTTTCAGCGCAGCCTGGGGAGGCATGTTTGGACATGGCAAGGGGGAGCCAGGCACCTCTTCTCTCCCCCTCCCTCCTCCCCTCCTCCTCCCCCTCCAACCTCCCTCCCTCCCCCCCACTCCCTCCTGCCTCCCTCCTCCCTCCTCCGCCCTGCCCCTCCTCCCCCCTCCTCCCCCCTCCTCCCCCTCCTCCTCCTCCTCCTTCTCCTCCTCCTCCATTACTTTTCCTGATAAATGACTTCTCCCTTTGGCAACCCGAACCAAGTTTTAGGGCGGGCCAGGCGTTTCGCCTGAGACATTCCTCACCAGTTATGACCCTGAAGCTTGAAAATTGGCAACAAATTCATAGATGGAGGACGGGCGATGTTTCAAAGAGTGACCCTCGCCTTAGCGCCGTGCACACTCGTTTTCAACAATGCACGAGTTTCACGGGTTGAGGGCGGGTCGTGTTCAAAATGTGGCTCTCGCCTTGGAGCTGCGCATATTCTTCTTAATTTACAAAATGCAAGAGCTTCACGGATTGAGGGCGGTTCCTATTCAAAATGTGGCTCTCGCCTCAGCGCCGCGCACTTTCCTTTCCTGAAATTGCATGAGTTCCACAGATTCCCATGATCAACGTACCATAAAAGGTGTTTTGGACAGATTCAAGATTATGAGGGTGCAAAAGTTACGTCGGTTCGCGGCGTTGAAGTCCCAGGAATGGCGTTCTGGCACGACTCAGGATCGTGAAGACGCATCAGTCAGATAGATCCGATAGCAGCGTTTTGGTATGCTTCAAGGTCTTCAAACGGTTGTCTTCCAACGAGGCAGTTCCCTCAATGGAACTGAATCCTTGTAGGTGCATATATAGAAGAGGGAGCTTGGAGGGAGGGTTTTTTCCATCGTTGATAGGGTTTATTCCATCGTTGATGACTCTTGGGTTTACGCTGGTCCTCATCCTCATTCTCCTCCTCCAGCTCCTCCTCCTCCTCCTCCTCCCTCTCTACCTCCCTCCCTCCTCCCTCCTCCCTCCTCCCCCCTCCCTCCTCCCCCCTCCCTCCTCCCTTCCCCCCTCCCCCAGGTCCCTTCTGTGTGGCCGTTGTCTCCCTCACCTTGCTGTTCGCGTCCTGTGCGCTGCCGTTGCGTGCCCAGGCGCCGCCGGGAGACCACGACGCGAGGGGGCCTTGGCTGCCACAGCGGCCCTGCCACGGCTCGGCACTCCCACAATGGGTGCGGGAAACATGGGCGCGATGCCCAGCTGGGTGGCTGCATGTGAACACTACCCCGACCCCCCACGATTTCCCAAGGAGGGTGGGGGTTCACTCCGCTCGGGAGCTCCCTGGCGAAGTGAACCCCCGCCCCCCCTGATGGTGGGCCTGTTTTCGACCACCACCACCACCACCACCACCACCATAAGTTGGAGGGGGAGGGGTCCTCCTCCTCCTCCTCCTCCTCCTCCTCCTCCTCCTCCTCCTCCTCCTCCTCCTTCCTCCTCCTCTCCTCCTCCTCCTCCTCCTCCTCCTCCTCCTCCTCTCCTCCTCCTCCTCCTCCTCCTCCTCCTCCTCCTCCTCCTCCTCCTCCTCCTCCTCCCCTCCCCTCCCCCTCCCCCTCCCCTCCCCCTCCCCCTCCCCCTCCCCCCCTCCCCCTCCCCCTCCCCCCCCTCCCCTCCCCCTCCCCCTCCCCCCTCCCCTCCCCCCTCCCCCTCCCCCTCCTCCTCTCCTCCTCCTCCTCCTCCTCCTCCTCCTCCTACCCTCCTCCTCCTCCCCTCCTCCTCCTCCTCCTCCTCCTCCTCCTCCTCCTCCTCCCTCCTCCTCCTCCTCCTCCTCCTCCTCCTCTCCTCCTCCTCCCTCCTCCTCCTCCTCCTCCTCCTCCTCCTCCTCCTCCTCCTCCTCCTCCTCCCTCCTCCTCCTCCTCCTCCTCCTCCTCCTCCTCCTCCTCCTCTCCTCCTCCTCCTCCTCCTCCTCCTCCTCCTCCTCCTCCTCCTCCTCCTCCTCCTCCTCCTCCTCCTCCTCCTCCTCCTCCTCCTCCTCCTCCTCCTCCTCCTCCTCCTCCTCCTCCTCCTCCTCCTCCTCCTCCTCCTCCTCCTCCTCCTCCTCCTCCTCCTCCTCCTCCTCCTCCTCCTCCTCCTCCTCCTCCTCCTCCTCCTCCTCCTCCTCCTCTCTCCTCTCCTCCTCCTCCTCCTCCTCTCGTTCGTCCTCCTCCTCATCATCATCCTCCTCCTTCCCCCCTCCAACTCATGGTGGTGGAGGTGGAAAACAGGCCCGTCACCTTAGAAATCGTGGGGGCGGGGGGGTAAGGCTCACATGTGGCCACCGAGCAGCACCAGATGGTGCCCAAAAAACCCGACAGCGGTCGCTGCTGGGCAGGCGGGTTCGCTGTCTGGAGTGGACAGCGCCCACGGGCGACGCCGACGGCGAGTCCTGTTCGCATCAAAGTGTGGAGAATCTGCTGCCGGCCTTCGTCCCCATTCACGCCGTACAGCCGATCCGTATCGTAAGGACGCGCGATGAGGACTCAAGGACCTTGGAAGGCCATGTCGGCACCTTGCGAGCGGGGCGCGGCCAGCGAAAGTGGCAAAGGATGAACCCGAAGGGGCAAGGATGCAAGGGTACCCTTGGGAAGTTGCCCATCCTTACCATTGGGCCCAGCAAGGGACCCCGGAGGTCGAAACTGACAAAGTGGCCTTCCTCAGTGTGACGCACGACGCGAGGGCGAGAGAGAGAAAGAGTAAAACGATGCCAGCACCGCTGCTCCATGGCCCTCTCTTCTAGGGCGCCTTCAGGCCAGGACTTCGAAGCGAACCCAGCCACAGCGACGACGAAAGCGTGGTGGTATCGGTACAATCAAAATCCATAGTAAGGACGGATGCAAGACCCTTGGACGTCCAATTTGGACGTCGTTGGACATCTCGATTGGCCCAGACAAAGTCGAAACAGCATGGATGCAAAGGTCGCCTTGCAAAATACTGCGCCCTTACTGTGGTTCTTGACTGTAGCTGCCCCTCATCCGAGTGGGGGCCTGGGCTGAAGCAGAGACGCTGACACAACGACCACACAACGAATGCCCTGTTCTCCCCCGACTGGCCACATCGCCCCCCCTGGCCACACGCCCTGTGTTAGGGAAGCAAGCAATACGTATATCATAAAAAAACTCGGAGGTCCGCGCGAATTCCTTGGATCGGCGCTGGGCCCCCCTTCCTGACGCGCGGAGCGCGCCAGGGGCGGCGCCGGAGGCGCCGCCAGGGGGCCCCAGCGCCGACCCGAGGAATATGCGCGGACCTCCGATGGGAGGGCACATGCGCACCCCGCCCCACCACCCCCGCGAGTTCTGAGGAGGGGGCGGGGTGAGGTTCGCTTCGTCCGGGACCTCCCGAGCGAAGTGACGTGAACCCCACCTCGCCCCTTAAAAATCGTGGGGCGGTGGGGCAGAGCAGGAGGGCACATCATCGAATCGATAAGTCGGATCGGCGATTGAAATTCATCGGATCGGCGAAAATCGGCAGCCAAGTCGGGAGGACTCGAATCGGCTGAAATCGGCAAGCTTGTACACGTCCAGTGAGAAATCGGAACCCAAATCGGAATCCCAAGTCGAATCGAATCGGAATCGGAATCCATCGAAATCGAATCGAATCGCATCGGGGGAATCGAAACGAGCCCTGGGGTAGAGGGCTCGCACGTGGCCACCCATCGGAGTTGGTCTGGCTATGTCCTCCTTTGTGCCCCGACGTGTGCCGAGATGCCGCCCGCGGGCACTACGGCGCGCCGAGGCGCGCCGAGGCGCCGAGAGCGCGCGGAGGAGCGGGAAGCCCCCCGGGTCGCGCACGGCGCCCGCTGCTCAGTCGGCCTTCTTCCGGAAGGAGCAGCCTGTGGAGGGCTCGGGCGAGGAGCGAGGGGGGGGGGAGGCAGATGCAGGCGGGGAGGGGGCAGGGACGGGGTGCAGAGGGAGGCGGAGGGAAGCGGAAGGAGGCGGAGGGCAGTGGGGGTGGAGGTGGAGGTGGAGGTGGAGGGAGGCGGAGGAGGTGGGGGGAGGGAGGGCGAGGCAGGTGGAAGGAGGCGGAGGGGGAAGAGAAGGGAGGTGGAAGGAGGTGGAGGTGAAGGTGGAGGGTGGAGGTGGGGAAAGAGAAGCGAGGGGAGGGGAGGATCAGGAAGAGCCGAACACCTCCTGCGTGGCTTTTTGGCGGGGCTCCACACCCTAGCGCATTCCGAAGGCCTGCCAAAAAGTTGATTGCAACAGGGGGGCAGCCACCACTAAGACTGCGCAATCCACCAGTCTGATCTTCCTCCTCCTCCTCCTCCTCCTCCTCCTCCTCCTCCTCCTCCTCCTCCTCCTCCTCCCCCGTCTCCTCCCTTCCTCCCTCCCCCATCCCTCCCGCCGAGGGCCCCGGAAGGCCTCCGAGGGCCTTTGAGGGCCCTCCGAGCGCTCGCGCGGCGTGCGCGCGGCGTGCGCGCGGCGTGCGCGCGGCGTGCGGCGCGGCGTGCGGCGCGGCGTGCGACGCCGGGGGGGGGGGAGCCGCTGGCCTTCGGTGAGGCGGGTGAGGCCGCCCGTCGGCTGGCACCTGCACCGCGCGCCGCGCGCGGTGGTCGCCGCCGCCGCCGCCGCCGCCGCCACGGCGACAGGGAGGGGGCTTCCCATACCACCTCGTTGGCCCTTGCGAATCGACGCCAGTCGACGCTGCATCGACGCCAAATCTACGCCAAGCGACGCTAAATCGACGCACATCGACGCTAAATGGACGCCAGGCCGGCGCCATCCCACGACTTCCGGACGCCGACCCACGCGCATCGACGCTGAAGACGGCATCAGGAGGACATACGTCGGCTAGACGTAAGAGTGACCCTGGGTAAGAGTGACCGTTGGTGCGCAGCTTTTGGGGGCGCGAGGGGGCGAAACCCAAGGGCGCGGGCCGCTTATGTCGCATCGCGCTCGGCGATCGGGGGGAGCCCGATGAGCCCGCACCAAAGGTCACTCCGGCGAAAGGTCTCCCTTACGCGTAGTCGAATACGAGGCTTCCGTGCTTTGCCGCCGAACGCCGGCGCGCACGAGCGCGGCGACGCGCACCGAGGCCCCCGCGGCGGCGGGAGCACACCGAGGCGCGGCGGCCGAGGGCGCCGGGCGGTGCGGCCCGCGCCGAGCGCGGCACGGGCGGGGCCCGAGTGCGGGGCACTCGGTGGCAACTCAAAGGGGGGCCTCCCATGCCATGCGCCGTACCATCTGGTCCGCTCTGGCGATGCGGCGCGAATCGACGCGGAGCCGACGCTGCCCGACGCAACTCCTGGGGGCCTCCCATGCCATGCCGTAACATCTTGTCCGCTCTGGCGAGGCGGCGTGAATCGACGCGGAGCCGACGCCAGCCGACGCCCAGTCGGCGCTACAGTCGGCCTTGATTGGGCAGGACACGCGAGAGGACACAAGAGCCTTCCGAGGGCCACATCGCCACAGGAGTGCGAGAAGGCACGTGTCGCGAGGCACAGGACACAAGGGTACCCTCGAGCTGGCAAGGTCGACCCACTAATCCGGGCCGACTGTAGAGCACCGACTCCCAGACGCGAGTCGACGCGAGCCGACGCTGAAGCCAGACTTACGTGGGTATGCCATGCCCCCATGATCTGCTGCCGGGCGGGGCAGGCAAAGGCCGGGCGCAGACGTCCACGGCGACACAACCACCAGGAGGCAACTCCTGCAGGCAGCCACTTGTGGGCGACGGAGGGAAAGATTCGACTGGGGGATCGACTACAGAATTGATTTACCCCAAAATTGATGTTCACGTCGACGCTTCAACAAAAAAACGTCAACCATTCGGATTGCCCGTAGATTCGACAAGAAAATCAACTCTGGGGCAAATCGATTCTGTAGTCGTTCCCCTACTCGAGAAAAAGCATAGCGACCCTGTGCGTTGGCTCACGCGGGCCGCCAGCGCGGCACGCTGCACTGGAAACGAGGGCGCTCGCGCGCGACCCTGCGCGGGCAGCTCACGCTGCCAGTGTCGGCGAGCGCAGTCGGCCGCGGTCTCCTGCCGTCGCTCACATCCACCAACCCGACCCCTGCAGGTCTGATCTCCGAAACGCCGGCTGGGGGTCAGGATTCGAAGGGCGCTCGCAACCAAACGAGGCCCAGCGGGGTGTCCGATGCCCCAGCGTCGAGCGGACCCGCGGGGGTGGGGTTCGCGAGTCGTCGCAGATCCTTGCGAGGCCTGCGACAGAACGGTGATGAAGGGCGATGAGGCTAAGCTGAGGGACCAGTGAGCCGAGTAGGCTCGGTCAGGCTCAGGATTAGGCCGGGGTGCGAGATTAAACGGCGGTAACACGATGATGCCAGTTTGGGTTGCGCTGTTTTCAACCTCTCATAGATGCTCGATTCTACCTCCCAGGAATTGCATCCTAGTAGACGTCCACTGCGGCACCAAGAACGAACACCGCTCGAGCCGACATCGAAGCCGACTCAGTAAGGTGCGACCAGGTCAGACGGATACTTTGTGAGGATGCAAGGGCCCTGGATTCCCAAACAGAAGCCTGAAGTTGGAAGCCCATGGCATATGGCTAGGATGAGCCGAGAGGGAACGGATTCAAGGGTTTCTGTTCCAGCGCAACGTTTGAGGAAGAGGGGGCAGGGGCGAGGGGAAAAAGCGCGACTACCAGCCTGCCGACCCACTCGTCACTCTGCCCAGCGCGGGGTCCCGGAATGGTGCATGGAGCGGTCCAAAGCAGCTCGACCCACGTACCCCAGCACCAAGGGGCATCGGGGGAGGAGGAGGAGGAGGAGGAGGAGGAGGAGGAGGAGGAGGAGGAGTGGGAGGAAGGCGACAATGACGAGGGAGGAAGCGACAGGGAAGGACGCAGGGGGCACCCTTGAGAAGTGACTCGCCCTGCTGGCGAGGTCCGGCTGTGTGCGCACGGGGGCTGGGTCGCGCGGGGTGCTGGGGCGGGGCTGCCCTCCGCGAGCGCGGGAGGCACGGGCTCGGAGCTGCCCGCCCCCGCCCCATCCCCATCCACACACCCATCCCTTCTCGTTGCGTTGGGCGCGGGAGGAGGAGGAGGAGGAGGAGGAGGAGGAGGAGGAGGAGGAGGAGGAGGAAGAGGAGAGGAGGAGGAGGAGGAGGAGGAGGAGGAGGAGGAGGAGGGGCCAGCATGACTGGACAAGAGGGAGGAGGGGGGGCGAAGTGGGGGGGGGGGGGGAGAGAGGGGGAGGGAGGGACGGGAGGGAGGGAAGGCGGGGCGAGGAGGAGGAAGGGGGGAGGGGTGCGGAGAGGCAGCGGAGAAACAGGGCAGGGTGGAGGAGAGGGGCGCGAGGAGGGACGAGGATGGAGACAGAAGGGAGGACGGAGGAGCGAGGGAGGAGGCAGGAGCAGTGAGCGAGGGAGGAAGGAGGGCCAGCGCAGGGGAAAGAGGCAGGTGGCGGAAGAAGCCCACCCCCCACTCCAGCGCTGGGCTTGGCTTCGCAGCAATGTCCGTCTTACTGCCCTCCCACTCCTCCTCCCCTCTCGCGCTCATCCCCGCCAGGAAGGGGGTGATGTCGTAGGCTGTTGGCAGTTTTCCCTCCTGGCAGCCGGTGGACCTGGATGGGCTTCAGGAGAACGCCAGGGACCTCAGAAGACCTCCATGGCCTCCCCCCCTCGATCGCCAACATTCCCCCGCTGTCCCGCCACCAGCCCTTCCGCTGCCTTCCTGCCTTCCTCGGTTCCACACTACGCCTCCCCATCACCCTCCTGTCACGGCTCCCCTCCCCTCACAGCTGCCACACTCCGCTCACCCAAACCCTCCCCTCCAATCCCAGGCTCCCTCCGCTCCATCTCCTCCTGACGTCCTTCTCTGCCTCCCCGTTCTTTTCAAGCGAGGCCCGCGGCACAGCATCACGTTGCAGTTGCCGCACAAGACGACCGTCTGCGCGTGGCTGTAGACGGTAGTGATCTGAAGGCAGCCTGACGGGGAGCATGAAGCCCTCTTATGCACCTAAGAAGACCCGCCTGACGATGGGTGCAGCCATCCCCGCCCCCGAACTCATTTCCAGTCGAAGCTCGCAGATCCCCCGACCCCCTACGCAATCAGTGCTCAAGACGATCCTGCAGATCGTCGCCATCCCTCGACGGGTGCTGTCCTGCGCGGCTGACTCGTTGGGATGTCGTCCGTCCACCTCTGCGGGCCTGATCTATATCATACAGCTCCATGCTCTGCGCTGCGTCTTGCGTCCCCTCCCACGTTCCCCCGCCTGCACGTGCGCACCCTCCTCGTCACACGCCTCGTCACACTCATCACACCCGCCGCTCACATCACTCCTCTAGCGGCGCAGAAAGACACAACTGGCCCTCGCCGTTGGTTCACTGCAGCCCTCGGGACACCCGAGGTAGGTCGCACGGCTGTGCACACTGAATGAGACCAGACGACGGAACACGCCCCCATGCAGGTCTGGAAAAATATCGGGATGGCTGTGTCCTTTCTGGAACTCCTCTGGGCCAAACCGCCGACCGACGATCTGCAACCAGAGACATATGAAAGCAGTGCTCCAGCACACGTGCGAGACGACAGGATGGGAAAGCCGGCACAGGCCCTCCCCACCTCTAACCAGCCTCGAACGTATCCCTGTCCCTAAGATGAACAAGCCAAAAGTCGATGACAATCTCAGGGATGCGCCCTCAGAAACGGAGGGAATCCCCAAGATCGGCACCGAGATGAGGCGATGCCAATCATAGGGATAGGGATATGTTCCAGGCCTGGTGAGCCTCGGCCTGGGCCTCAGAGGGGCTCCGCCGACCCAGCTCTCTGGCGGCCGGGTCTGCGCCTCGGCCTCCGGGCCCCAGCCCCACCTCGCCCGCGACCTGCGCCTCGTCCCGCGTCGCTTCTCGGCGGTCACGGGGAGACAGCGGCGAAAAGCGAAAAGCGAAAAGCGAGAAAGCGAGGAGGACGAGGAGGATGAGGAGGAGGAGGAGAAGGAGGAGGAGGAGGCGCGCGCGTGGGCCCTCTGGCCCGGTAAAAACCATCGTGCTACCGTCCACCCGTTATCATGAGGAGATGCGCGGTGAGGATGCAGTGGCCTTGGAGGGCCACGATGCCGCCTTTTTCGAACGGGGCTGGGCAGCGCAGGTCGCTGAGGGTGGACCGAGGAGGCAAGGAACGGATCGGCCTCCTCCTTCTCCCTCCTCCCTCCTCCTCCTCGCTCCTCCTCCTCCGAAGGGTTTCTAGAGGGGCTTCTTGGAAGACGGGAGGGCTTCTAAAATGCGGGGCGCCCTGTGACGAGGCCGGCCAGCCCAGCTCAAGGGTAACCCTTTGGGAAGGTTGCCCGTCCTGCCTGTGCGGGTCGACCGCACCATACGGAGTGATGAAGAAGGACAGGCCCGACGTCACCGTACCACGAGGATGCACGATAAGGATGGGCCGAGGAGGCAAGGATGGGCCGAGGAGGCAAGGATGCAAGGGCAGGAGAACCCAGAATCGAATCGATAAGTCGGATCGGCAATCGAAATGAGTCGGATCGGCGAAAATCGGCAGCCGAGTCGGGAGGAATCGAATCGGCTGAAATCGGCAGGCTTGTGCACGTCCAGTGAGAAATCGGAACCCAAATCGGAATCCCAAGTCGAATCGAATCGGAATCGGAATCCATCGAAATCGAATCGAATCGCATCGGGGGAATCGAAACGAGCCCTGCAAGGGTAACCTTGGGAAGGTTGCCCATCGTTCCTGTGCGGGTCGACTGCACCATGCGGGACGAGGAAGAGAAGGATCGAAGGGGCCACGGCCACGGCCACGGCGGGCCTCTGCCTGCGGACGGGCTCTCCCCGACGCTGGACCTCGGGAGCGGCCCGAAGACCGGAGCCCATAGCCCAGGAATCGGCTGAAATCGGCAGGCTTGTACACGTCCAGTGAGAAATCGGAACCCAAATCGGAATCCCAAGTCGAATCGAATCGGAATCGGAATCCATCGAAATCGAATCGAATCGCATCGGGGGAATCGAAACGAGCCCTGAGAGCCCATCTGTACAGTCAACCCGCACCATTAAAAGTCGGGCCTGTCCCCCTAATTACAGGGGGAGATTGGAGGAACAATTAAAAAATAGTCAAAAAGTGAGAGGAGTGGAGGGAAAAAGAGAGGAGGGACGAGGGCGAAGAAGGATCACATCAGTCGGAGCGCCCCGGATCGGCGGCACTAGCCGAAGGCCACTACAATACCCTAAACTACGTAAACATGCTCACAAAATCCTCCCCTGACCATTTTTCGACTATCTTTGAATATCCCCCCTGTAGAGGGACAGGCCCGACTTAACCGTACCACAAGGATGCACGATAAGGATGCAAGGGCCTTGAAAGGCCACGTCGAAGCTTTTCGAGCGGGGCGCGGCCAGCGAAAGTGGCCAAGGATGGGCGAGGAGGCAAGGATGCAAGGGTATCCTTGCGAACGTTGCCCATCCTTGCTAGGCGAGTTGACTGTAGCCCGAAGTGGTTTTGTGTCAGCGTCTTGACTGCACGTTCTCTTATCTGGGGGTATGGGGGAGGCAGCCTGGGCACTTGACGTCCATGAAGAAGCTGTTGGGCGTCTGGATCATGCGCTTCAGCTTGTGCTTCGTCTCGTGGGCGGCGGGTGGCGAGAGCGTTCCCCACCAAGGCACGCGCGAGAACGGTACACTGCGCAAATACGCTCAGAGGGGCCCAAGTGAGCGCTGGTTCCTGCACCTCGTGTCGCCACACATTTCGTCTAGGCAAAACTCATCATGTTGCCCGACCGTCCACATCATTATACCATCACCCTCACCACCATCACCACCATCACCACCATCACCATGATCACCATCGCCACCACCAGCATCACCTCCATCAATGTCACCGCCGTTACCGCCACAGCACCACATCACCATCCCCATCGACATTGTCATCGTCATCACCATCAGCGTCGTCATCATCATCATCAGCATCATCAGCATCATCGTCATCATCAGCAGCATCAGCATCAGCATCAGCATCAGCATCAGCATCAGCATCAGCATCAGCATCATCATCATCATCATCATCATCATCATCATCATCATCATCAGCATCATCATCATCATCAGCATCATCATCATAAGCATCATCATCATCAGCATCACCGCCATCATCATCAGCAACATCATCACCATTATGATAACCATCATCATCATCAGCATCAGCAGCATCAGCAGCATCAGTATCATAAGCATCAACAACATCATCTGCATCACCATAATCCGCATCATCATCACCATCAGCAGCATCATCATCAACAGCAGCATCATCATCGTCATCGTCATCGTCATCACCATCACCATCGCCACCGTCATCAGGCCATCACTACGCCAACGTGGTGCCATCCTCACATCCCCAAACAAACACCACCACACGACCACCACCGCCTCCCCACCAGAAGACCGCCCGAAGACGACCCGAGCGAACCCCAAGAGGGCCCCGAAGACCGTCTATACGAGGGCCCCGATACGGCGGCGGGCTCCGGTGCCTGCCAATGTGGCCCTACATGGCCTCCAAAATGGCCCAAGATGCCCTCCACGACGGCCCAAGTGGCCCTAGAAAACTCCAAGGCGAGCCTAGATGATTCCTCGGGAATCTTCTGACCCGGGTCAATCCAGACCCGGGTCAGTCAGGCATTGCAAAATCCTGCAAGATCCTGCAGAATCCTGCACCCAAACCTGGGTCAATGCGAAGAATCCTGCAAGATCCTGCAGAATCCTGCACCCAAGCCCGAGTCAATGCGACCCTGGCCCTGCAGGATCCTGCAAGATCGGGCGCTCTGGCTTACCCCCGTTTGCATTGACACCCGTCCAAGGCTCCCGAATTCCAATAGAAGAAGAAAAACTGGCACAAACATACACTTTTGGCGCTCCGCGCGGACTTCTTGGATCTGTGCTGGGACCCCCTCCCTGGCGCGCGATGATGAATTGTGCCTGTGTGTGTTTTCCCCTCCTGACTGTAGCGGGACGGGGTGGGGGAAGCGAGAGCAGAGAGAACCGGGGGCGGGGAGGCGGCAGGCCTTCTCCTCCTTGGCGTCCGGGTGCAAGAGATCGATGTCCATTGCCCTGCGCGCGAAGGGAAACAGAAGCCTGGCCGCCCCTACCACAAGATCAGTCGGCACCGAAACGGGAAGCTTGATCGAATTGGAATGTGAGTCGGCGTCGTGCGTCGTTGTTTGCAAGGGGGGGCGTCTGCGACGCCAAGGCAGGAGCGCCTGTCCTGAGCAGAAATCCAAAGAGGGAGCCTAGAGGTAGCGCCAATGTTGTTGGAGCCAGCTTCCGAAAGCGAGCAAGAGCCCCGGTCCAGAGTAGAGGAGGAGGAGGTATCGAGCGGGAGCGTTGTTGTTGTTGGAGCGGCCGTTTCGGCGTAACCGCGAAACGCCTGAGCGGGAGCCGAACTTTCAAAGGTAATGCAGCCGGCGCCGAGGCAAGAGTGCGAGGGCGGATGCAGGGCGTCCAACAATATAGCAAACCCGTATAATGAGGATGCACGGGAAGGATGCAAAGGCCTTGGATGGTCATACGAATGTTTTTTCGAACGAGGTTGGCCAGCAAAAGTCGCTCAGAATGGGCCGAAGGGGCAAGGATTCAAGGGCAGCCTTGGAAAGTCGCTCATCCTTACTATGCGGGCTGACTGTACGCATTCTTAAATGATTCAGGATCCAAGGAATATGGAAGCCTCAGGGCATCTGGGAGCCTTGAGCAAGAGCGGGGGGAATATCAAGCGGGAGCGTCGTTGTTTGCAGGGAGGCCGCTTGCGGCGCCGAGGCGGGACCGCTGGTCCTGAGTAAAAAGCAGGGAACAACCGAGCGGGAGCGCCGGTATTGTTGGACAACCAGCTTTCGAAGGCGAGCAAGAGCTCTGGTCCCGATTTGAGACAAAGGAAGTATCGAGCGCGAGCTTTGTTGTATTTTCAGTCCTAAAGAATAAGTATGTTCATCCCCCAAGCCCCGATTTACAACGACAACGGTTCCCGCCTGAACATTCCTCAGAAGTTATTTAACATTCGCACTCTCGCGCGGGACTTCCTCTCAAATGTTTCCAAGAACCGCACTCTTGCGTGGTTCTTTATCACAATTTATTGCGGCGCCGTGCCCCCAAGAATCACAAATCACGCTCTCGCTTTGGATGTCCTGATGATGTACTTGGGAATGGCGTTATCGCTCGAAACTTCCTTCATGATGGGTTGACGCTTTCGCGACCAGCCCGCTCGACCTGGCCGACTGGGCCCGCCCGCCCGACCTACCCGTCAGGGTCCGCCCGCCCGACACACCAGGCTGGTTCTGCCGCTTGTGCTGCTGCTCCTACCCTCCTCCTGCAAACTCCTCTCGTGCTCCATCCGTCTCCTTCCACCTTGTTCTTCACTCCTCCCCTCATTCCCCTGTGATAAGGGCTGTGCCAACTACACGTGGCAGGTCGGATAGATATACCCCCAAGAGGGGATACGATCGAAGACGAAGAGGGCAAGTACCGAGGGTTTGGGATGTACGTGTTGAATAGCACGCGAGCGGATAAGAGCGAGCAGTCTCAAAATGATTGCTAATATTGTTGTTGTTGCTGCTGGTATTGCTGCTGTTGTTGAACTCTCACTCTTGACAAAGAATTACTTTTGATGCCCCCTCACCGGCTCACATGTGTTGGGCTCGCACCCTGTTCTTTTTCCCAGCCATCCTGTGGTCTTCGGTCCTCGTTTGAAGACACAGCGCCCCGCGTTCCCTCCTCACTCCTCCCTCCACTCTCCTCCTCCTCCCCTCCTCCCTCCTCCCTCTCATCGCTCGGCAAAACAATGAATAAGAAAACGATCACCAACTTGAATTTCAGGGATCGCCCTAAACAGAATGGCGCTGATGGCGAGGGTAACGAAACTGCACGATGGACGAGATGGCAAAAAACAGGAAGGTGTGTAGCTGATGGAAGCCAGCGCTGACCTCTCTCCCCGCACCCCCGGGTGGTGCCTCTGGCGCCCCACCTTGTGCGCTCATGGGGCGGGAGGATCACGCCAGGGATCGACCTGAACAGGTTTCCCTCGTTCTGTCTCCAATTCGCCTTTGCCGCGAAACGTAATCGAAACGAAAACGGCCGAGGAGATCGCCAGAAGACCGCCTGAGTCTAGGTCGATCCATATTGCATTGTTCGGCTCCGTGCATGTATTTCTCGGGAGCGGCCAAGAGGGGGGCATCCAAGAGGTGGGGGCGCAAAGCATGGCCGGCGGCATGTGCGCGGCCCAGAGGGGGTGCCAGGGACGTAATGGAATCAGAAGAGGCGCCCTGAAATATGGGAGATACCATGACCCCCGCCATGAGATCCACCCACCCCCTCCCCAGTCATCACCCCTCCCCCTCTTTGCCGCCCCCGAACTCCTGCGCAAGAGGTCCCAAAAATGCTCCTCGATGGCCCATGCCGAAAAAGAGTGTGCTAGCCCACTCAGGTGAGAACTCTTCCGCCTCTGAGTGGCCCTTTCTCCCCCCCCCCCCTCCGCGGCCGCTATCTCTATCCTCTTCCCGCTCTTGCACGCTGGCCAATCCGCTCCTCGGTGCCCCCGTGCAGCGCTGTCGCTCGTGCAGCCAGCTCTGCCTCGCCGCCGACGAAGAAGCTGTTGTCGGCGCGATGACCCAGGATGCTCTCCTGAGGGGCAACGATAGGGGGGGATAGGGATAGGGGGGGAAGCATCGACTTGGAATCGGCGACACATCGCCGATACATCGGCGAGAGGCCTCCGAAAGTGAACCCGCACCTTCCCGGGCAGGTTGGGGCTATCGGGCCCCTATCGGCGATCAATGGGCGATTGGGAGTCGATGCATCCCCCCCTGTGCCTATCCCCTCCTATCGTTGCCCCCGATCTCCTCGATGGCCGCGCTCGCACGCGGGGCGCGCGGGGGCGGCCCCCCGCGGGGGGGGCGCCCCGTGCGGAGGGGCGCAGGCGCACGAGGCCGCAAGAGCGCCGAGCGCCGGAAGTGCACGCGGCCGCGTTGGAAACCAGCCCCGAACGTGTCCCCGTGCCTAAGGTGGGCGAGCAAAACAGCGAGGGCAGTCTTAAGGATGCGCCCTCAGGAACTGAGGGAATCCTTGAGAGCGGCATCGAGGTGGAGTGGTGCCAGACACAGGGATAGGGTATGTTTCGAACTGGTAGGTTCGGACGCAACTACTGGGAGGTCGTCTTCGTCGGAAGGATGAAGCAAGATTCAGCGGGATTCAGCGGGATGAAGCCTGATTAAGCGGTAGTCAGCCGGATCAAACCGGGATTCGGACCAGGGCAAAGTCAAAATTTAACCTCCCAGGAGTTGCATCAGAAGCCACGTGTATGCCCAGCCCTCGCGCAGGCCTGCCACGTCACGTGGACCAGAAAACAAACGGCACCACCCCACCTACGGCCCCATGGAGCTGAGCATATGGCAAGAAAGTTGGCGTGGGCTTTTGCGCGGTATGCGCCATGACCCCCAGTGGGCCGTGGCGCAATATGGAGGGCCGCAGGTGGGGCGGTGTGTTTTGCGTTGTGGATCGATCATGTGCATCGAGCTTCCTGGCAGGATCAGTCAGCATCAAACCAATAAAAACTGGATCGGATCGTAATGTGCATCGGTTCGGGCTGCATCGGCCCCGAATCGGAATCGAATCCGATCGGCTGCGCCAAGATGCACAACAACGCCATGCAATCATCAAGCCGCATCGGACCGTCGGAATCTTGGAAGATCGGAATCGGATCGGCTCGGGCGGGCCTGAATCGGCATCGAACCGGATCGATCGATTCGGCATGGACCCTGCCTGGTGGATGTCAACGATTTATCTTTCGACTGCTGCTCACACGCGGCTTACACATGTTACTGCTACGAGCGCTGTGCGCTATGGCTGCTGCTGCTGCCTGCCGCCGCTGCTGGCAGAATGCGGCAACTGTGCAGTGCAGAAATGGAGATGTGGCCAACGAGGAGCTTCTCCGCCTCCTCCTCCTCCTCCTCCTCCTCCTCCTCGTCCTCCTCCTCCTCCTCCTCTTCCTCTTTCTCCTCTGGTGAGAGAGCGCTTCTCCTCCGACGATTACAATCGCGAGAGCTGAGACAGAGCTCGAAGGTCATGTTCTGTCAGCGGACCGCATTGCCGGTCGCCTCCACCCGCACCATTTTGGACGCCCGAAATGGGTACTGAAAGAATGGGCACTATGCCCAACAACAAATGTTGTCCCAAGCCAACAGCGGCCGCTGTTGGGCAGGCGACCTTCTGTCTCGAATGGACACAGGCTGCGGCGGCGCGGACAGCGAATCCTCTTCAGAATGAACAAGAATTGTTGTTGGGCATTGTACCCATTCTTTCAGTACCCATTTCGGGCGTCCAAAACCATCAAGCTGCATCCGCGAATCGAGTATCCCCCTCCTCCCGCTGATGTTCCCCTTCTGCTCCTATCCTCCTGCTCCTCGTCATCCAGCACCGCCGCCTCTCCTCCTGCATAGAGAAGATAGCCGCCTGCTGAGGCCTCGAGCTTCCTACAGAAGCTTCCTGGGGCACTGTGATCGTATTGCCGCTACCCTCGAGCCGAAACGATCACACGCAAGCCAAAAAGAAGCGCGATGCGATCCAAAGACATGTGAATCCCGCCAGCCCTCTGGGCGACAGGCGGTCTAACAAGATCTTTCGTTCCACTTCCAAAAGAACCCCTTCTTCCCAGTCGGGGAGGGGGTTACCCCTACCCCCTCCCCTGGATCTGGACGAGAGGGGGTCGCGAGCGGTCAGGGCTTCCAAGATAGCCTGAGGTGGCTCCAAGAGGGCCTCAGAGAGCCCAAGACGGCCTCCAAGATTAGTCCAGCATGGCTCAAGATAGCTAACAGCATGCCTCCAAGAGGCCCCAAGACGGCCACAAGACGGATCCAAGTGCTTTTGGAGACCCCTCAGGACCTCCCCGAGAGCCAGAATCCTTCGAAAACCTAAGGGAAACCCTTGTGGCCTGTTTAAGATGGCCCCAAGATGGCCCAAGAGAGCTCCAAGAAGAGCCCAAGAGGCCCCCAAGACGGCCCTAAGAGCGCCCAAGATCGCCCCCAGAAGGCCCCAAGAGCGCCTCAAGAGGCTACTTCGATGGCCCCGGAGGGGGAGCAAACATTAGGACCCCACTCCTTGGGTCGATGGTCTCCAAGATGGCCCCAGGAGGCGCTCCATAGCCCCCAAGAGGGCCCCAAGAGAGCCCCAAGAAAGCCCCAAGAGAGCCCCAAAAGAGCCCCAAAAGGACCCCAAGAACCTCAGAAGAGCCCCAAGAGGGCCCCAAGATGCCCCAAAAGAGCCCCAAGAGGACCCCAAGACGCCCCCCAACAGCCCCATAGCTCCAAGAAGGCCTCCGATGCTCCAAGACAGCCTCCAACGTGGCTCAACACGTTCCTCACCCTCCTCTCGTTGACCGCTCTGTTTCACTGTATGCGCCTCTGCTTTCCATTTCCCGTCAGCGCTCGTGGGCAGGGCGTCTGAATGGGCTGGCGCGGATCCATTTTTGGGGTCGCGGCCACCAGCGAAGAGCGCAGGCGGCGAACAGGGAGTCCGGGCCATCCCGGCGCGGATCCGCGAAGCGTAAACAATAAGACATCCCCGAAAGGGTGCAGCATGGCCATCCCCACACCTCTCGGGCCTCTCCGTGCCTGAGGCTGCGCACGGCGCACGACCCGCTGCCCAGTGTCGTCCACGTCTTCCTCCACTAAGAGCCACGCGCGCGCGCGCTCCGCGTGCGCGCAGGCTGTGGTCGAGGGCGGTCGCGCGCTTCGCGCGCGGCTGCCGCTTCCACAGGTTGGTCCGTGCTTCTCTTCCACCCGTCCTCACGCGCCCTTCCCATCTCTCTCTGCTCGTTGCCCTCCCCAACCCCCTCCGCCTCGTCCTGCTCTTCCCGCCATCCTTGCTAGAGCTCGTCCTCAACCTATTTCACCTTCGTCTTCATCTCTCTCCTCCTCCTGCTATGGTATATATTGTGCTGCCCTTCTTTTGACCATCATCATAAACCTCCTCATCATCATCCTCATCATCCTCATCATCATCATCATCATCATCATCATCAACAACAGCATCATCATCATCATCATCATCATCATCATCATCATCAGCATCATCAGCATAATCCTGCTCATCATCATCACCACCATCATCATCGTCACCACCGTCATCGTGATGGTGGTGGTGGTCGTCGTCGTCACCGTCCGTCCTCTGTGTTCGAGGGTTTCGCCCGCCCGTCATGGAGGACAATTTGAAGCGTGGGACACGATCACACCAAGACACTGCGTCGGCATGTAGAGTTGCCGCTCAAGGACCAATTCGGGAAAGCGTTCTCGGAGTATCCTGAGGGGGGGCGCTTTGGAGGCCTTGCAACTGCGCATGAAAGTTTGGAATGTGTGGTTGGTCGCCGAAGGCAAACAACAACATCAATTTCGCCTCCGCCTGATTAGGACACGAAGTGCTTGTTCAGCACGTAGACTGCTCGTGGCCAGTGTGGACTGGAGCTTCCTCGCGCGCTGGCCCTGCCAAAACTGGAAGGGCAATCCGCGTGCCCGTGTTCGCCCAACGTGCTCACGACCGCCAAGATGTTGCAGTGGTCACGTATCGCCCCATCCATGTACAGTCGGGGCGTTGACCTAAGGAACCCTGAATAAGGAACGAGGCCCCTTTTTTCCATTAGTTAAACTTCGATTTACCATCGAAAACATAAAGAAACCCTGAGGCAAGCTGTGAAACAATTACGAAACACGGAGCCCCTCCACAACGAAAAGGGTTCCTTCTTCAGGGCCCCGACTGCAGCCCAGACCCATCGCACCATCCACATCGCCGTCTAACTTGCCAAACATACTACGAGCAACCTCGCGGCAATTGCAAGGCAATCTCCCCCTGAACCTCCAATCTCTCCGTCCCCCACTCCGTCTCTCGCTCTCTCCCTTTCCCTCTGTCTCTCTCTCTCTCTCTCCCACTCTCTCTTCGGGGATCTACTAACCCAGGTGAATCCAGACCCGGGTTAACCAGGCCTTGCTGGATCCTGCAAGATCCTGCAGGCTCCCGCAGGATCCTGCACCCCGACCCGGGTCAATGCACCCCTGGCCCTGCAGGATCCTTCAAGATCCTGCAAGATCCGGCACTCTGACTGACCCCCGTTTGCACTGACCCATCTCTTGAGCCCCGATCTCTCTCTCGCTCTCTCTGTCTCTCCGGAGCGAGCGTCGGTCCTGACAATCGCCAGGCAGCGAGCGACTAGTGGTCGGAACGTTCAGCGGAGTGCCAGATGCACCACGTCGGCGGGCGACAGTTAGCTGGCCACGCCTTCCTCGCCATGTACGTAGCACAATTTCTTGATATCTTCCTCTCTGGATCGAATCTGGGTCTTGGGCAATCTTTGAAGTCGCCCGCCGGCACCAAAAGCTTGAAATTCATATTTGGAAATTCCAGAGGGCGCGCGGCGCCTGGCCAAACATGTGCCCGGAATAAGGGTCCCTCACATATATGTGTATGTATGGGCATGCGTACATATATGCAGATGCATACGTACATACATGCATACATGCATGCATACACACATAGATACGTACATACCTACGTACACACATACAAGCATAAAAGACATGGCATATAGACATGGAAACATATCTACATATATTACAGTAGATGGTGTTACATTGCAGCGCGTTACATTACACAATATTACATTACATTACATGACATATTAGCACAGTACAATACATGACACGACATACATCCACACAAAAATGCATACATCCATGCCTACATACGTACCTGCATACATATGTATACGTATATACATACACACGTGCATGCATGCATGTATACCTATATACATATATACATACAAGCATGCAAACATACCGATATACAAGCATACAAAACATACAGGGATACATACACACAGAAAGACGAACATGCACATATCCACACATACACACATACACACAGATGCATCTACCTAGCAACATACAACAATACAAACAAACAGTCATACGTTCATGCATAGACACACACATGCATACGTGCATACATACATGCATGCATGCATCCATCCATGTATACATACATACATACATACACACATCCGTACGTGCGTATATGCATGCATATGTACATACATACATTGCATACATGCATGCAGACCTCCCTACATACATCCAGAAATGCATGCATACTCACGCCTACAGACGTACGTCCGTACATACATGCATGCATGCAAGCATACAGGCATGCATGCATGCGCCCATGCATGCACTCGAGCATGCATGCATACATACATGCATACATGTACACACCCACATACATACATGCATGCATGCATACATGTATGCATACACACACATACCTGCGTATATACATACATACATACATATATACATGCATACATACATACATACATACATACATACATACATACTTACATACATACATACATACATACATACATACATACATACTAGAACCACGCGCGCGCTTCGCGCGCGCTTAGGTTCCGTCGAGTCACAGACCCAGGAATCGTTGTGAGAAGAAATTGGTGACGCGAAGCGTCGTGGGGGCGTCCTTGGACGTCTGGGGTCTCCTGGGGCCTCTTGAGGGGCCTCCTGGGGGCCTCCTGGCGGCCTCTTGGGGCGGAAGGCTCGAGCTTGCGGTTCGTGGTCCCCCTCTGGGCCCCCTCTTGGGCCCGTCTTGGGGCCCTCTTGGGCCATCTTGGGCGCCTCTTGGGCCGTCTTGGGGCCCTCTTGGGCTGTCCTGGGGCCCTCTTGGAAGCTTCTTGGGCCGTCTTGGGGCGGTCTTGGGCGCCTCTTGGGCCGTCCTGTAACGTCGGAAAGCCCAAAAGACAACTTTGTTGAAAATGTACGTTTTACGAAGGGAATGGGCCAACTTTTGCGTCTAGGGGCCCTCTTGGGACGCATGTTGGAGGCTTCTTGGGGCGTCTTGGGGGCGTCCTTGGACGTCTGGGGTCTCCTGGGGCCTCTTGAGGGGCCTCCTGGGGGCCTCCTGGCGGCCTCTTGGGGCGGAAGGCTCGAGCTTGCGGTTCGTGGTCCCCCTCTGGGCCCCCTCTTGGGCCCGTCTTGGGGCCCTCTTGGGCCATCTTGGGCGCCTCTTGGGCCGTCTTGGGGCCCTATTGGGCTGTCCTGGGGCCCTCTTGGAAGCTTCTTGGGCCGTCTTGGGGCGGTCTTGGGCGCCTCTTGGGCCGTCCTGTAACGTCGGAAAGCCCAAAAGACAACTTTGTTGAAAATGTACGTTTTACGAAGGGAATGGGCCAACTTTTGCGTCTAGGGGCCCTCTTGGGACGCATGTTGGAGGCTTCTTGGGGCGGGGGCGTCCTTGGACGTCTGGGGTCTCCTGGGGCCTCTTGAGGGGCCTCCTGGGGGCCTCCTGGCGGCCTCTTGGGGCGGAAGGCTCGAGCTTGCGGTTCGTGGTCCCCCTCTGGGCCCCCTCTTGGGCCCGTCTTGGGGCCCTCTTGGGCCATCTTGGGCGCCTCTTGGGCCGTCTTGGGGCCCTCTTGGGCTGTCCTGGGGCCCTCTTGGAAGCTTCTTGGGCCGTCTTGGG